ATGCTCTGCAAACTTCGACCCTTCATTAGCCAGATTTTTCTGCTCTGAGTAGTGAGTGTACTGATCCTTCACACACAGCTCAATGCTTATTAGATTTGTCCATATTGTTCCTTAAAAACGTAGATTGCAGTGGTGTTCACAAGCCTTAGAAACTGCAAGAAGGGAGTATCTTTGCTGCAGGGCTCAGGGTCATTCAGCAGCATATGCTGTGCAGAATGAGTGTTATTTTTAACTGTCCATTGTTAGCCGGTTCAGAATGAAATAATGTAAATTTTATTTGGATACACCACAAACATATTAATAATGATCATAAAATGATTTTCCATTCATGCAAGATTTAAATTACCTAGAGAAGCCTTTCTTTACAGTAGGTGTTCATCAGCCTGCAGGAGAATAAATACGTTTCTTGCATCATAAAATACCACTAGTTGCTGTAAGTACATAAAAATAATCGTGTTCACTTTATGAATGCATCAAAACTCCTGTTCGGTCTTCAGGCTCCATTGCATACTTTGACTGCAAAGCCACTTCAGAACATCCCTCTGCCATGTCAGGGGGAACTGAAGCCACAGCAGGATGTCATGGCCTTTCTGGGTCTTACTGCTTGCCAGATGAGGATTTCCCCACTGTGGAGGGATCAGCTGACTTGATGATCTCAGCATCTCAGTTCTGTTGCTTGTGTCCTGGAGGTGGCACACAGGTGATGGGACCAACCGTGAGCTTCTGGGTGCATGCCAGCGCCTGTCTTACATGGGGCACAGTAGAACGTGGGCCTGGCTAGTGTCAAAAACTACTGCATTGCTGTCATCATGCCCCCCACCTGGGACTGGATTTAGGTCTGAAATAATTTCCTTTAAAGTTGTCAAATTGTTGCTCTGTGAAGAGCTCTTTCTGCTAACTGGGTTGATCTGTGTGACAAGAACTTGCTCTTTATTCATAGCAGCTTGGTGACCCATTGCTAAATAGGAAACTGCATGTTGGAGACTAAAGAAACATTGTGAAATAATCCAAGGGACTTCACTCCTTATGTTTAATGTCACTTTATTAACAAATCAGCCTATTTACATTTCTTTAAAGGTTGCTTGGTGTTGGTTTGTAAGAGGTGAGTGCAGGAGGTCTCGACTGCGAAGGGGCAGGATGGGGAGGGTGTGAGGTCAGTGTGTGTGTGCAACTGTGCCAGCGCTTCCCTCTGCGGCGACTGCGCGTCTCCTACCTCTGAAACGCAGTACTTGTGCAGATGACATCAGGCTTTGCTTTGGTAGCTGTGCAGGTACGGGAACTACACTGGCACTGCTCCAGACTCGTCTCCACATAAAACTCAGGAGGTTTTTTCAGTGCAAGACGGTGCTCATGGCCTCAGCCTTGTTCCCTCCACGTCCAAGTGCGTTCCTGTGGCATGCTCTGAACACACCCTTGGGATCGCTCACTGCTTTGGGCACTCTGAAACCTGCTTTTGCTTAGGTTCAATAGCAGTTACTATTTTAAAGTAACACTTCACAGATCTTCAAAAAAAAGAGTTTTGGAGTTGTTTCAACTAAGCCATAACCCCAGCCTAGTTAATAGGCTTTCCTTGCCTATGATTAATCTTGGCAAATATTGGGCTCTGCTGCTGCAGAACAGGTCGAGCAATCTGGAGTGCTGCAGGAGGCAGAACTGGTTCTGCTCCGACATGTACCAGTGCACAAACCCTACCGTGAGTTCTGGGGAAAAGCACTCGCTCACGTAACCAGCCTCTCTGTTGTTTTGCTTGCCCGAGATATGGATGTGTTTTGGTCTGGGACGGTGCACCAGTTTTCCTTCAGAATCAGGCCCATGAACTTGGTGAATATAAATTTCATCCTTCCTTCCAGAAGCCTGTTCTGTAATTATCATAAATTTTATCCACTTAAGCAAAAAGTGAATTAGAACTTTTTTTCTAAATTAGCAGAGGGGCGGGCAGGGAAGTAAGCCTTTAAAAAATGGCAAAGTGATACTTAATACACTTGAAATGTTTTAGTGAAGGGAAAATACAGGTTACAGCAAACTTTATTTTTTACTACATGAGGATGTTTTAGGCTGTTAGCCATCATGTTTTCCCAAACGCCTTTTCCCCTTGGTGCAAACAGACTCAAACAGACTGGCACCAGAATAACTGAGAGAGTGTGTTGAGCAAGTTTGTGTGTTTAGAAAGGTCTGAGCACTTCTGAACGGACAGATGGAAATTGCTTCAGCTCCCTGGAGTTGGATGCACTCTGGATTTATTTGCCACACCAGTTAGGCTGCTGCAGCAGCAGGGTATAGTTAAAGCGGTAGAGCCTCCTAGTGCTCATGGAGGCTGGAGTAGACCTGTTCTCTTGGTGGTGCAGTGAGAAAATGGGAATAAGGTTTCCTAGTGAAATGCATAGTGTTGTTAATGCTCCTTCTTGTAGTTATTAAGAAAAATGTGGCAGAAAGAAAACCTTGGCTTTTATAGGCCTACACTGAAATTGGCTTGTGTAGATATGTATTTATTCCAGCCTTCCTTTAGGAAGAAGAGAGAATCATCCAAGTCACGTAGGTATGGGTGTTCTCCTGTGCCTTGCAGTACAGGGGTAAGATTGGGGCGTTTTGCTGTCACACAGCCTGGGCTGCTGCATCCTGGAGCAGAGGGGTTCCTTGCCTCTGCCTTTGCTCCTCGGGGATCTGAGACAGCTATTTTGGCAGGAGAATAATAGAATATTAGACTAACACCTTTCTTACAACCCAACTCTCACCGAGGGTAGGTTTAAAATAATTTGTTATAATCTTAAATCCACAACTTCACTTATTAAAGTGATGTGCTGCACGCAGCCTGTGTGCTTTCCTGGGCAAACAAAGCAATTGCGGAGACTGCCAAGCCAGAAATGTCATTGTGCAAACAAATGACTTCTCATAACTCAGTGCTTTTGGTTTAAACAAGGAGGAAGTGGAATCAGAGCTGTCAGGAGTCCCAGGTGGAGAAGTCACCCTCCAGAGCATCAGAAAGAGTATTACTACCACTCAAAGAGAATTAAAAAAATAATTTTCACCAAAATCAGAAACAAATACCAGAGATTTGGAGCCTTTGTTCTGGTTATCAGGAGAGGACACCACCTCAGCCTGTCCCACCAACGGCAGGACAACAGGGCCACATAGTCCCAGTTCACAGAGCAGAGAAGCAAGGAGGGAAGAGACCATCTCCTGCCTTTTGCACCAGAGTAGGTGCACAGTTAACAAATGAGAACCTTTCAGGTCATCTTTTTCCTTGTAGTTTTCGGTGTTCTGTTCCTCCCTCTCCCCCACCCCCTTTAACTGCAGTATATTGTTAGTCGTAGGTATCTTTTTTTTGTTGTTAAATCAGGAATTCAGCCAAAACTGTCATGAGTTTCTGATTCTTTCCATTGAGTAAAAACCTGAGTGGAAGACAGGAATGGAGACTGTTGCACTGATTTCTCAAAGACAGCTACTTGAGGTGGGCACCTCTGTATTGAAGGAAATATAAAAGGGACACAAAAAACAAGGCCAGCACTAGAAGCAAAAGGTTTTTATTAGCTTCTGATATTTCAATCCTACCTACTTAAGCTGCAGCTAGAACCAAAAAAACATATCTTTTTTAAAAAGACTACCATAATCCAAAACAATCCATAAAAGTTTTCTGCCTGTATTAAAAGTTTAAATTCAAAAAGAACTTTTCAAGGTTTCATTTTCTAAGAGCATCTTCATAGAGATAATATCCAAGTTCTCTTCCTAAGTACAGATACAAGGCAAACAAGCATCTTACAAAATGATCTATGGAAAAAGGTAGTGTAGGAGAGAAATTAAGACAGTGTAATAATCCACTAGCCAGACACACAGGTTAAATGTAACACAACCATACTGTCAATGAAATATTTAAAAATGAAAATAAATTAAGGTTACATCAAAGTTCCTGCTTTACTTTTACTGTTTAAATCCTCAATATAGTACATACCACTGCATTATGGATCATGGCAAAGACTTAGCACTAGCATTAAAAAAGTTGCTATAGAAAAACTTTTATGAAAATAAAACAAGACCAAAGATACTCCTTCACACAACTGTATGATGGCTATAGAAACTCCACTGAATCGGTTATTCAAACTAGGGCCATTTATTTTTAAAATCACTGCGAATTTCTGTAAGATCTTGGTTGCAAATCTGAACAGCCATGAAAATGGAGATGGAATTTCAACAAGCAGTGATCCGTACATTGTGGCTGAACAGTTGCTGTCTTACCCCTTTCATTGCTTAGCCAAGCTGCATATTTTGTTCTCCCTGATACCTGCACCTCAGCAAGAATGCAATTTTGCAGTGCACATTTTTTTCGTAGCATTTTGATGTTTTCTGAAAACCAGTGTCTTGTTCTCCTAAGGCCCCAGTCACTACGTAAGAAATGTGAACGCAGGCTTAAAAGGCTTTGTCAATACTTTGCTTTACCTCTTGTACATGCTGCTTCTGACTCATTTGCCATTTGGAAGCCAACTGCCTGTATATATCATCATATGATATTGCTATTCTTCTAGAAAACAACAGTAAGCATCCTAGCTCACTATTACTACACCCTCCCCATTAACTGTAACTGGACAGCAAAGACCTAAGTGGTGGTTTACAGGACCTGCTCTACAGATTTAAAGTAGTCCACCAAACCAGAAAGCAAACACCCTCCATGGCCTTTGCAGTATTGTAATATGTAATGAAAAAACAAAGGGCTTAAGTACGCTAAAAGGTACTTAAAATACATTTTATCCAATTGTGAGTTTCTGAGACTACAGTGAACCATCCTGCTATATTCCTCCCATGATGCAACCTGTAAGAAGGTAAGTGAACATTTCTGTGAAAATGCTATTTCCCTAATACTAAGCTCTTTGTTGACTATGAATTTAGATCTGTATTATTAGATAAATTTTCAGAGGAGAAAAATATTTAAAACAAATACACTAAGCAGTTTCTGATTGAATTGTATCAACTCTTCAGTGTTAAACCTAAAAAGAAGAAAATCTCCACAAAATGATGGTTAAAAGAACTGAGTTTTTGCTTGGTTACTACATGGGCATTGCAGACAAGCTGCACCTCGAGAGTTCATTTCATAAGGTTGCAACAGTGTCTACTGTCCATTGTTTTCTGGATTTGTTGTGGTAGTTTCAGTGCCAACAGGTTGCACATTGTCTGCAAGATTGTGCGCGTGCTCGAGGAACAAGTCTTTCAGTACGCTCAGCTCCTTGGTCAGGAGCTTTATTTTGGCCTCTAAACGTTCATTTTCTTCTTTGAGCTGGTTGACCCTTTGCAGCGTGTCTTGTGCTTTCTGCTTGCTTTTTAACCGGCTCTTTTTCACTGCCATGTTGTTTCGCTCTCTACGCTGACGATACTCATCACTGTTTCGATCCACAAAGGAATTTTTCTTTCCCTGCTTGCTCGGAGGCACAGCTTTGCCTCCGCCACCAGGACTAACGGGCACCAGCTGGGGAACCTGCTGCAAACCACTGCTGTGCGCTTGAGTGTGAATCACGCTTACTCCGTTCGCATCTGTAGCGGTGTTCTGTTGGGATGTCTTGCTCATTTGGACAGGCTCTTCTTGGACACAACAGAATTTATTAGGAGACTGAAAACTTACGTTTCCAGAAGGTGTTTCCAACAGGTCTTCACATGGATTAAGGGCAAGGTGAACCTAGTAGGAAAAAAAAAATGCTATTAAAGGTGCTGGCTTCAGCTACAATCTTATACATCACTGGCTTTAGCATGAGGTACCGATGGTACATCTGGCAGTCCCACATCACAACTGAGCTGGAAGTGGACAAGCTGCCAACTGCATTTCGGAAGCCTCTTGAACATACTAGGATTGGAAGGGATTGCTACTGGGTCATCTAGTCAAGCTGTCTGCATTGTTCACTGGCTTTACTCAGTTCTTCCAAAGCCATCCCTGATGGATGGGTGTCTAGCCTAGCCTCTAATATCTCCAGTTTCACAACCTCTGTCTTGGCAACAGGTTCCACTGTCTAACTTTTCCTCCAGTTATATAACTTTCTTAATTTTCAGACTGGAGTTTTTCTTCTGCAGCTTAAACCTATTAACAGCCTGACTCTTGACCAACAGGAGTACTTGATCCTTGTCCTCTTCAGATCATCCCTCTGGGTGTACGCACAGACAAATTCCTCCCTCGTCTCTTTTCTCTGGAATGACACTGCTCAGACTGTCCACCTTTCCTCAGTCATCTTACAGCACTTGCTTTTGAAGACGACGTCCAAACTGATGACTGTTTTAAGGTCTCACTAGTACTGAGTAGAAAAAAATAATCTGCGGAAAAAGGTAGTGTGCTGCAAAGGCCTTGACTGAGTGACATTAAAGGAACCCCTTCAACCACAAGCAAGGTAAGACAAGACAAGCCTGTAATGGTACCGTAACAAGCAGGTGGGACAGGAACACAGAGTGATGGCAATGTGAGAAATCAGTACGTGGTAAAGACGGGACTGTTGTCACCCACAGGAAGCCAGCAGCCACAGCTGACCTGTCCACAAAATACGTTGATCTGCTGTAGCTCCTGCACTGGTCATTGTCCACTCTCCAGCAGACAAACAGGCCTGGTGAGCAGGACACCCTCTCACCTGACTCATGTTCTTCCTGCTGCTGAGGTCAGCCTGCTCCTGACCCTACTGGTGAAACATGGAGGGCTCCACCACAGCTGCTGCGGGGACACGGCCCTGACAAGGCTAATAGCTGCTCCCCTTCTCTTCCCATCTCACAGGATGACCTCCTAAATGTCTGGGAGAGAAGAGAGGAAGGGCAACAGGGTTGTTCTGAGTTCCTGAAATGCCTACCTGTGGCTCCAATGGAAAGTACTCAGTGATCAGTCAAACAAGTGTTGATTTCTTGTCATGTTAAAGAAAAGTATCTAACTGGCATAAAACAATCCTACTGCAAGATCAGATTGCACTGCAGCGGTGCAGCCCTATGCTCCGTCACACACATCCATGCAGTGCCACACAAGTGGTGTTGAACATCCTCCTTGCCTGTCCTCAAGAGGACCCGCTGGGAAAGCAAGTACTTGAAGTTAGCGGTGGGCAGCGCTAAGCGCCCAGCATGGGCAGTGTCCAACCCAGGGATTATGGCTTCATCAGTGAGAGCACAAGAGATGATGACTGCTCCTGTGTCTCGATGATGAATGGATGTGGCGAGATGTTTGTAAACAAGCTGCTGTGTGTCACTGGTCATTCTGAACTCGTGGGTTCATCAGCTGTTTACCGTTCCTGTTTGTCTGTTTTTCTCAGCAGTCTGAGCTGCTCTTTTACCTTCTGCTAGGGTAGCCTTAAAATTCTGCTGTCAATTTTCTTCCACAAGGAGGGAGCCAGAACAAGATGCTGCTGCATAATATGGTTCAGTAAAGAAACGCCTACTAAGTTTGGCTTGAGTGTTTTTAGAAATTAACATGTCTGTCACCAAGAAGTTTTCTCGCATAAAACTTAAGTGAAGAAGATGGGTGAGTACACCAACACCCCTCCTATCAAGAAATCTTTTCATTTTCATATTTCAGGGCAGAGAGAGACCATCAACTCTTTTTGACATCTGTATAGCTATATCTATATACATACATGCTTAGCCTTTGTATTTAGTATTTTCCTGATTCAACTCTTAAAGGAACTTTTGCAAACCACACTTAAGTCTTAGATTCTGACTGGATAAGCAATTTGGTTCAGCAGTTAGCTGAATATACAGCTAACAAGATGTCACTGTGCAGAAATACCAGACTGGCAGGGCTAGTTGTCGTCGCTGTGTATGTGTGATTAGACATTTTTTAGTCAAGATGCAAGTGTAGGCTCCTCTTGGAGCATATACTGGCTTTGGTTTAGCTTTATTTTTAAATACAGGATTTCTATAGCTCTCGAAGAGTATATAGCTCTGTTAGATCACCTCTAACAGAATTTTTCCACTCATCTTTGACATCTTTTCCAAGTCAGACAGAATGCTCTCCTGTCCCCTCTATTTCAACATATTACAGTGCTTGCTAACTTCACCTGGACAGCCCAGTGAAGTAACCCATACCATTTTCATGATCAGCTTTTTGTGCTTCATCAGAGGAATGGGCAACTCCTGCCCCTGAAGGCACCCCACCCAACGTGAAACAAGTTTCTTCACATCACCAGGTTCTACATGCTATTTCTCTCTATACTATCAAAACTGTTTAATATTCTTTTAATATTCCCTTCAGATCTATCAAATTCCCCTGTAATTCAAAGGAAAAAAAATATTTGTTTCATTAAACTGACTTTTAATGGAATATTTTAGTTGGGCACTGCACAGATACGAGGAGAGAAGATTAGCCAGTGTCACACCTCTCAAGCAGGCGTCCTAGCCCTGCTAGAACAGATGTCCCTCAACTCCTTCCCACTGGAACTGATCTATTTTGTCTAGTGTAAGACATGCTCTTAGCTGATCTGATGATCAGAACTCTTACCTGGGAGAGATGACACCTGGATTCCTGTCCTGCTCCAACTAATATTTATGCAAAGCAAGTAGCACTAACTATACTGCATCACAGATAACCCAGGAGCTGAAACAGTTGAGGCTTGAAACTGATTTTTGTCCCTGGTTATTTGGAGGCTGGATCCCTATTACCAATTTCAGTTCTTCGAGAGAAGAACAAGAGAGAAGGATATCCTGGATAGCGACAGGTGCTGTGGGGCATTCTTCAGGGAATACTGTGAGATTTAAAGGCAACAGCTACGAGACATATGGAAGGGGCTCTCAAGCTGGGTGAGGAAAAGGACACAGGAATTGGGAGAGGTCACGAGGATGGAGAGGCAGATAGGTCTCAGAGTTTGTTTCTTAGACACATTGCCACACAGACGTGGCTGCTGTGCTCCTCTGCTCTGCTCCTCTCCACAAACAGGTTGGTTTGCTGTGCACGGGTGATAGCCCCAGCACCGCAGGAGGCAGCTCCTTGGAAAGCAGGCTGAGTTTCCGAGCATCTTGTTCCCATAAAGCTGCTCATTAGCTTGAGCTCAGCAACAGCCCTAGGCTGGTTCCACCCAGCACATGGTAGTGCTTCCAGTGGCCAGTTAGAACTGCCTCGTTCTCTCCCTGGTCTACCAACTGGCCACCCAGGACACCAACTGGCCACCCACTACAGCATAATAGCTGGTAACTCTGAGGTGCCTTCTCAGGCAAAGAGATGTTTCTTAGTATCTGACAGCGCTCCTCAGGGACCACTGAGACTCCCAAACAAATCAAGGCCTATATTATCCTTGCTTTGACAAAAAAAAAAAAAAAGAAAAAAAAAATTTAAACTTCCAAATGTTTGTTTTGGCAAAAAAAAAAAAAAGATGTGTTTTAATTTGTTAATTAAATCAGCATTTTTTTTTACTCAGCAGCAAAAAATACAAAGCACACATCTCTTTTTCGAGATGCGACTGTTGACTCTGATCATTAGTCAAGACAACTTTATTGCACAAATCCACTGAGCCATCTAATGCAAAATCAGTCCCAACGTGAACAGCAATAGCTGGCCTCCCTTCTCTTTGACTTCAGTAGGAACATCCCACTGGATCTGACTCTAAATCCAGATGACCCCGTACAAAATACAGCAGCATAAAACTCCAGGCACACGTTTGCTAAAGACTGGGAGGGCCTGCTCCTGTGTTTGCTTCTCACTCTCACAGGCAAGTTAGTAAGAGTTGATGGTAATTCTCGCATACTGAAGGCTCTGCAACAACTTTTTTCAGAGTAGGTAGCTCAAACCTATCATCTGTTGCCATAGCTGACAACATCACTTTTCCCTATTTTCCTCAGAATCTCCCTTTTTTCCATGCACTGTACAAGAAAAATACCAATATCCTTGAAAAAAAAGTGTGCTCAGAACGTCTAAAGCATGTATTTTAATTGCAGTCGAGCAGCGTTGATGACAGAATCGCAAACAATCCCAGGTGCCAGGAGGCAAGAAGGCACCAATTTGAACCTGTCTGTTGAAATAAAACGAAGGCAGCTATTGCTAAAGATGAACTAATTCCTTAAATCCACAAGTTTTTCAAAATGTGAATTTTGATGCTTTCTGAAGAGGCGTTATGAGCAGCACGGCATTATTACTGAGAGGAGTACTGCGCTGCCTTAATGACTGCTATTTCCCACCAGATGTCAGAGCTAAAACCGACCTCAAGCTTTCTGCGATAGCTGTTCGCAAAGTTGCGTCTGGAGCTGTAAAAATCTGCTGGGAACCAGAAAGACTCGTCAAGACATTCAAAAGTCCCCTGAGAAGGTAGGAAAGAAGAGTATCGGTTGTTGGCGCACGGCACTTTATCGTGCTTCGGGACAGCGCCCGGGATCCCTGCGGCCTCACGCATCCCGGGAGCGGCGTGAGCGGCACCGGAGGGGCTCCAGCCCCGCTCGCACACCCTTCCCGAGGCCAGGCGCGCTCGTTAACGGCCCCAAAGGCTGCCAAAAGCACCTGGAGGCGTCTCGGCCCGGCCCCGCTCCCTCGGC